AAAAAAAAAACCATGCTATACTTTTCCATCCTTATTCAGCATGAGGACTGGAATATTTTTTGCAATATCATAGTAGTAGTTAGAACATTCATTCATAGAGCAAAACAAGAGGGAAAGACAGAGTGTAAAAAAAGCAAAATTTGCTTTTTTCATGCCTGGAGCAATAGAACGATGACCATCTCCAATCCAGAAACGAAGTCATGATATCCAGGGTTGTAGTCATCATCCAAAAATAAATTCATCAATGTTACTTCTTCCTTTCCGAAAAAAAAACTAGCTACCATTACTAGTTATTCGCTTCGATAAGAAACTGTCTTTACTCGTTACCGTTATTCGTTAGTTTGAAACTTCGATAAAGAAATCCAGGGGATCAAATAAATACGAATTTGGAGCTGTCATCTCCGACAACACCATCCTCCTATTAGTGTACAATTATGTTTAAGCATGGACGTCATTAAAAAAAACTATTATGGAGAGGATGGAGAGAGGGGGGGGGGGTAGCAGGCAGGGCTGGATTAAGGTGGCAAGCCTAGACAGAACGTAAGCCGACGCCCTCCCGCCCCCCTCGCATCATCCACACTCACTTCCATTTGTCTCTCAATACGATATAGTGCGCCATATAAGGGAGGAGGTGCTGGGCGAAAGGCCAAAGGGGGAGGGGAGTGTGTTGGACGCTCAATGGTGGCATATGTCTCATCAAAACCATCGTAAACAAGTGACACGCATATTCTGTTATTTAGCATATTTTCCTGTCCAACTGTAAACGATTATTACGGATAACGCAGTCTTTTTTTGCACGGTATTCGGAACGCGTTACTATTCGACGAGCCTACATCTGAGTAAAGGAATGAGTTACCGTTTCTTGTGACTGACTTTGGTAACGTCTTTACTGCAACGCGTTACTTGTAATGTCTTACTGCACAACCCTGAAGTTATGCAAGACTTTGGAACATAAAAAAATTCTCATTAGCTGAACCAAGGTAGAGAATAGTAATCAGGCATACAAGATAGAAAATCTCATCCTCTCGTCAACCAATGTGATGCTCTGGAAAGGCCTATTTCCAAATCCAGTTTGCCAGAGCAATATAGCACATGAAGGCTAGGTCGAGATATCCGAAGCATAAACGATAAATGTATTTATCCACGTTTGAAATTCAGCTGGCGGCACACATGTTCACGTACGAACTGAACTTCCCCCTCAATTCGTCAGGAAAGGCCTAGGGAGGAATCAGATCCGAAATAAATTCGGCGAAAATAAAGGACTAAGAGTTCTCTCTAGCCAATACATAGGATGGGAGAGTGGGAAGAGGGAATTCGACTCCGTTTCACAACGCCTTTCTTACAGCTTCCCGAGAGCTAATGACTTTTCTCTAAATGGATCCTTCGGCAACGTTCACAGGACGAGAATATACCTACCCCACCGTCGCATGCTATTGGGACACGATAGGACACATCCACTTTAACGGCTGACGATGATCAGGGTTGACGGATCCAGAAAAATTTGCATGAATGAACCAACATACCTGAAATGTGTTCCGAAAATTCCTCTGCATACATCTCGATGATTTGTTGCGCTTCCTCTTCCGTGATGTCTGGAGTCTCATAGAGAGAAACGGAGACAGAAACCTCTTTGCCGTCAATGCTAACGGAAACTTCCGCTTTCTCTTCAGACCTTCCAGACATGTCAGAGGCCGGTGTTTCATATATGCTCAGCTGTGAGGATCTTTCCTCATTGATTGTCGATAACGAGGACTGCCGTGTCAATCTTGCTTGCTCTGTCATGCTTCTTGCTTGCTGCTTCAGCGCCATTTGCTCTGCGAGATTCCAAAGAATTTAAAATGCTCAGAATGTCCTATGTGAACAGCGGCAACATGGTATAAGCGAAAACTTTCAGAAAGTCTCTTCCCAGCTTCTTTTTTTTACAGTCTTGCTCGGTTTCAGAGCACGGAGCATTCGTAGAGAAGTAGAAATCCGATTACCACTTTGTTCATCAATGCTTTAATGTAATCCTTGAAATGGGAAAATAATAAAAGGTCATAGAAGACTTGTCGATGATAGTTGGCAAACGACTATAAATCTACTTTGCTTTTCTCAAGGTGGACGATATACAAGCAAGGTCAGAGTGAAAGAATGAAAGGATAACCAGAAAATGCCGGTAACTTCACCCCAATTCCCGTGGAGTCCATGCTGTATCTCCTATTCACTTTCATAATATCCCCTTTCGCCAAGGAATATATTATGTCTTTTGATTTTAAGCATGTCATCAATCATATTCAGACTTTTCTGTCGGTGATTTTGAAGTTCACCTTCGAATCCTAGGAGAGCTGCCGAACTGGATGCAGATCCAACGCAATTAGTGGCAACGCAAGTGTATGTGCCCAGACAACAGGTCCCATCGGCGCCTGACATTATTCTGTGGATGTCCCCAGCTTTCAACTCCTCTCCGTCCTTGAACCATTTCAACGTGGGCTGAGGCACTCCTATCACCTGCCAAAAGGAATATTGTTCGCAGGTGAGTGTTCACAGTTTGTACCTTCCATTTCTGATAGAGGGAAGGGGAAGTGTCATGAGATAGAAAACTGGAACAGGAGTCGATGATGTTGCAGTCAAGGAAAACGTTGTAAGCAGAGATGTGTGCATAGCACATCATTGATTGTTCTACGAAATTTACTTATTTTTTATCGCAAAGATCTCGTTAATAAAGAGGAGAGGATATTCTGGAACAAGGAGATCTTGTCGACGACGCTGAGAAAGAAGGCATCCTTTGTTACCTTGCATTCCAGGTTGACAGTCCCTTCCTCTGACAAGATAGCACGCAGGGGTTCCAGAAACCTGGGTTTCTTATAATGCTTGGGGATCGTGACCCGAATGAGGCAACGGCAGGATGTCTCACCAAACTCGTTCTTTGCGAGGCATTCCCATGCTCCCTGAAGAGTTCCAAACAATATTTTCTTCGATTAGGACATTTCCGAGGTGTACACCTGCGAACATTGTGCAATGTGCATGCAAGCTTCTCGTGCTTTGAGCATCATCTCTTTTATCTCGAGGACAGATCGCATTCGAGAGAAACGAAAGTGGGAAGCAATGAAAGAAAGGGCCATTGAGAGCGGGAAAATGATGAAGTGCGCGCGTGAGTTGCCAAAATTCCGTGGAGATGCCACTCGAACGTCTCCGAGTCAGACGAACATGCACCTGCATCTCCTTGGCTCTTCTCCTCGTTCCTGATGCTTTTGCAACGTCATTATGAGTTCCCAACCAAGAACATCTCATCAACGCATGCACATGTATTGCGACAACGATATAACTAATCGCAACGAAAGCAGTAGAAGAAGCAGTATTCTCCTTTTTTTGAGCATCCGGCATTCTTTGGCCTTCGTCCATTCAGGATGCCTTTCAGAGAAGAATCTGTAAAGAGGTATACGCGCATCGCACCATGTGGATCTTCGGCCAAGAATAATACTACCAGACGAGTTTGTCCTCAAGACATCCATCTCTCAACGGCGTGTTTACTCATTGGAACACTATTCGCGACTGTTTGACCTTGACACTCATATGAACTGACCTGATCGTAAATCTCGAAAGGAACTATATCGAGATGGAATTGACGCTCATCTTCTTGGCTCATTTGGTACTTCGGGCCGTGAGTGACGGCTTCGTTGCCATGGAACCAAATCACTTCCGGCTCGGGTCCTTGGTTAACTGAAACGAGACACAGTCATGTCCGTGAACATCATGCAGGTGTCTCCATCTACTCCTAAGATGCTTACACAGATTCCTAAGAGTACATTTTTCTTTCTGGATCCAAAAGACCTTACCTTGCACTGAAAGTCTGAAGTTCTCCCCGACAATAGCCTCGGTGGATACCAAAGCGTTGATGAAACGAGGCGGTTTGGCCTTCTCCCTAAGAGAGGCCTTTTCTTCCTCACTTAATCGGGCCTGAATGTCGCTCATTGTCAATTCTGCTTCACTTCTTGTTTCTCCCATGCAATTCCTTGCCAAACAGCAATAGCGTCCTGAAAATGATATTAAATCTCAATTAGTGAATCTCGAGTCTCAAATCTGAATGAACGAATGCCTGACATTTTCAAAATAGCAAGTTTCTGCTTGTTGTCAAAATATAATTAAAATATTTAATGTTTTGAGCTGCTTGAGGGCTTCAGTTGTATGCAGTTCCGACAAGGTTGGAGGAAATACTTTATTTTGGGAACATAATCTCGTGCCAGAGAAGGCGGCACCAAATAGGGGACGTCGAAATAAACCGCATATAACGCACTCTCAAATCAAGCAAGAATTTATTAAATTAACTTCATTATAATATTCGATTTACGGTTGATAATTTCATTCGGTATCGTCCAGGACGAAAACTTGCAGGCCGTAAATAAAATACAGTCATCTTGGTTTTTGGCACAACATCTCCCATGGCCCATCCGAAAAGGATGCGACAACTCACCTAAAGAGTTGGCTCCGCTCAACTGATAAACATCGCCAGGCTTCAATTCCGTGCCGTCTTTGTACCACTTCAAGGAAGGTGCGGGGAAGCCCAAAACCTTGCATTCGAAGGAGACCAATCCTTCCGGTGTCAGAAGGGCCCGCAGTTCTTCCAGAAACCTTGGGGCCCTGTAGTTTTTGGGAACTGAGGAAACGAGGCCACAAACGGGGATTTAATGTTTTATATGGGGGAGAGGCGGGAGACGGTTTGTTTTTTAATTCACCTGCCAGTTTGATGACGCAAGAAGAGACGACTTTTCCTCCATTACTGGAGGCTTCACATCGCCACTCTCCTTCGTCTCCGAGTTCGATTGGGTTGATATCCAGTACATAGACATCGTCAGGCTCACGACTCATGTGAAATTTCTCGCTAGGCTCAACAACCATTTCCTTGTGATACCATTGGATCCTTGCCTCCGCGTGGGAAGAAACTGCACGAGCATAATCATTAGAGAAAAATCAATTACAGATTATTGTACTTGAGGGGGAAAACTGAACCTGGTGATCATACTCTTGCGCCAGTTTAAAAAATATTTAATTATTGATGCATATGTTCCGAACACCTCAAATGAAATGACTTAAGCTAGAGCACATTGATATGATCATTTATGGTTATTGTTAAAGAGATGTTCCGATTCATAAAGCACGGAACATATCCATTCAAATTCGAAATTAAAATTATTTTATGTATTCTGCTGATCTCTCATTAATGCATATAAATTAAGAACCTATATATATATATATATATTTTAGTAAAAGCTGTGCTGCAGATCAAGCTTCCTTTTTTTTTTAATAGGAAAAGTAAGCATTGTAAGCACCTCCTAAGGACTCATGCCTGAAGAGCGCTTCCCCATACATTTCCAACGATGCAATTATATGGGGAAACTTCAAACCACATGTACAGTTCATTTAAAATGTGTGGGAAGGTGACGCTGGTGTGTACAAGTGAACGCCATGTTCTCAGGATACACATCAGCACCATCTCCTCAGAAAACTTTTGGATTAAGTGAATATATGGATCCACACCTATATATATGTCAGTTCTATATTAACCCTTTAACTGACCGCTGGACATCTAATCGAGCTACTTCAAGCTCATTCTCATTTAAAAATGGGTAGCAATCGAGAACTGTCTGTACCTGCCGCATCTACTCACACTTTGAACTCTCGCAGTCACTATACCTGACACTATTTGAAATATGAGTCCATGTAAGCACACCAGTTCTAGATGCTGCTTTATTACAGGTTGTATTTTCAATAAACACTTCTCTCCTCTGTTGCCTTTAATCGTTTATTTGCAAGAAAAGGGCTTTTTATTCAGAGTATTCTCCTACTTTTTTTGCGAGTTCAGCAGGCGCATATTCAACTACCTTAACAACTGACAATGTAAATGTAAACGTAAAAATGTAAATTGTAAATTGAAATACCTTGAAATGTTTTAAGCATTAAATTATAAGTATCTGAAGATATAAAGAAAGACAGAACTTGCTAGTTTTGTGCCACGGATTTCAAATCTGCCAACAGAAAATTTGTTCATCGCATTTATTTATATGAGTTATATGAGTTTATATTTATATGACTTTATATGAGTTGAAGGGTTAACACAGAACACATACTCGATTCAACATCTATATCCGCTCCTGCAATACCTTTAGTCGTGAAACAATTTGCCTGTTTTTCGAAAGAGTAACGCATCAGTGCTTGGTTCGAGAGGAATCGAGCAGGGAGGGATGGAGTCACGAAGATGCACTCGCTGACCTTTGACTTTGAGGGCTAATCTCCCGCCGACCTTAATTTTTTGGTCTGTTAGAGGTTCCAAGACCTCTGGAGGAGGGCCAACTGGAGTTGGAGAGCGTTGCGGCGTTCTTGAAGGAGACCTGCACAAGGGGAGGGAAAATCGCATTTCATTGTAGGTACGCAGGTGCATCCAACAGCACATGTTCCCTTCTTTCCTCACTTCACACTTCTCTTTCACAGAAATGCGAGCGGCTGCAGGATGATGCTTCCTCTCACCTGGCTGGCTTGAGGGAGCCTTCTCGGCTGGTTCCGATCACTTGGACCTTCGCCGTGGACGTGGCTGATCCCATGCAATTCAATGCTTCGCACGTGTAAGTCCCCAGCGAAGCAGGGTCGTCCTTATTCGCCGTCAACGCAAACATATCACCTGGTTTGATTTCTTTGCCGTCTTTATACCACTGGAGCACTGGGGTTGGGACTCCCATCACTTTGCATTCAAGCGAAACTGTTCCCTCGTCGGTCAACAGAGCTTGAAGCTCTTCGGTGAATTCTGGCTTCTTGTAGCCTTTTGGCACTGCAACCGCGAGAAAAATTATTTTACCTGACCGAAGGTGATAGACACTGCACTGACTTCAACGTAAGGAATTGCGAAACATACCATTCACTTTCAATTTTGCTGCAGATCTGATTTGACCTGCAAGAGAGGAGACGACACAGGCCCAGGAGCCAGCATCTTCTTCTAAAACTGGGTTGATGTCTACGTAGAATTCTGGATCTGCACGATGAATGCGAATCCGTTCACTCTCCTCCATTTGCAAATTGTTGCGATACCACGACGCCTGAAATCACGAAGAAGCGAATCAGCAAATCTCGCAGCCAGAGCACAAAAGCATCAGAGAAACTGTCAATCGAAACGCACCTGAAGGTTATAATCAGATCGGACCTCAACTCCCCATTTCAGTCGATGTCCGATTTTGATGGCGTGGTCTTCAAGGGACCTCAAGAAGCGGAGATGAGGAGTTTCTTTTGCATTAGGGACAAGAAGGCGACAGGAACTCTGAATCTCCCCCAGGTTTTCATCCTGGGCAATCACGGAATACTGGCCGCTGTCAGAAGGTTGGCACTTCATGATCTCGAGTTTCGACGTGTTTCCAGAGGCCATAATCACATGTCGACTGGATTCCCGGAGTCGAATACCACGATGACTCCTGTCACCAAAACGAAACGGGGAAAGGTAATGAACGGAACAGAAGGCAGCAACGGGGTCACACCCTACAAGTTTACACCCTCGTCGAAGAGAGACTCTCGTGACAGGAGGGTCAGAATTGTTTTCACGAGTCGACCGTTCAGCCTGGGAGAACTTTTCCAATATAGGTGCCAAGAATGTGCTCGCTGAAATCAATCCAAATGGCGACTGTCTAAATATAGTCTTGGTGAAAGGGTGAAGGATTATGGACTAGAGAAAAGGCAAACGACAACGAGGGGTGAGTTTTGAAATTCTACTGCGAAAAGACTATGAAGCAATCAGGTATGAAAGCTATAATGAGAAAGAGAATTTTCCAACCAGAGGAAATTGGGAGCAGAGCTGCAGTGAACTGTGGCCTCGAGGGAGGCATCTTGACCGCAGAGAACGGTGACGTCTCGAAGCAGCTTGACCCAATGGAAGCCCCCTCCTGGAAATGAAGCGAGAGGATTGGTAAATGCAGAGAGTATTCGAAGCGACTGAACGTCGCAATCACAGGATGCGCATATAGGAAACCAAGGAGAAGTTTTGGCGAGGAGAACTGACTAGGAGGTATGGATTGAACAGGGGAGGGAGAGCATCCATCTCAGGACCTCCTTTCCTTCCCATTACTTCGTACATTTGTCTTGCTACCACACCATACGATCCGACAAACAAGGTCGAAATCAATCGCGTAGAGCTTCTGGAGTTTGAACGTATTGAAGCAAACTTAAGTGAACTATATTTTTAATGGCATTAAGACCTTATTATTATTAGCATCATTGGCCTAGTTCTCGGAGCACGTCTTAGTGTACAAGAGCGTCGACAGGTAGTGCGTCTCAGGTCTAAACAAGTATACCTGGCATAGCCCCTAGTGCAAATATATACCTCAAGCCTTCTATAGACCCCAATATTTTCCAGAAACTGAGCGAGGTTGGATGTAGGTTAGTATCAGGAGAAATATAGGAGATATAGGGGGCGCATCTGCCCGTGCACTTGAGGAATCCGCTAAGCCCCAACGTTCTCATCGTCCTATTTGGATGGCTGCCAAAGCCTAACAGCTGGCTCTTTTATCCCTCGAGAAAAGAGTGAGAGCTCCTCTCGGAAATCAAGGGATCATCAGATGGCAGCGGTTCCAGGAAGAAATAAGGGGGAGGGGGGGGGGGGAAACATCCCTGACTGGCCTCGGTTTGCACCATTGCTTTCAATTCAACCAAATCATGAAATATCACGTCTGCCGGATAATACCAGGCAATTGAATTTAAATTAAGGTTTCCGTAAATGCCTGCACCAAGTCCCTTCCGCTGTGCTAAGCATGGCCCACGGAGTGACTGCTATTCCTTCGCTGATGGGACCAGGTAGGAGTAACGCAGTCATATGCGAAGACATGGGATTTCGAGCACTTCGTGAGCGAGGAAGGTGTCATGGCTAGGTTGAACAGTTTTCCATAAGGTTCCAGTCGAAATACGGCTAAAGTTTGAATCCTGTGCTCGCTGTGTCTTTGTGAACGCTCTTCATGCATGGAAGGCCACCACAAATTACTGCTTCTGTCTACGGGGAGGTTCTTGAGTGCCTTGTGGAAGATAAAAACACGATCAAGCAGAAAAGCGAAGCACAGCATCGCAGTACTAAGCTCACTAATCGCCCTCAACATGCAAGAACCTCGGTCTGATAGACCAAGGTTCTTCTGAGTTTAAGTCGAATCCGAAAAGTGCCCCCAAGTATATTAATGCTGGGAAGCCTTCCATAGAGTAGAAAAAATATATATTTCGAGAGTGCCCTCAATTCATCTTGCACAGCAGTAGCGCGAAACACTTTTATTTTCGTCATCCTCTGTCGATTTTATCTTCCATTATCTGTTATCGTTTCTGATTGAGATTTCGACGCCCAAACAATTCTCATAGTTACTACGCACGGTTGCGGGTTGCATAATTCAGGGCATTATGGCCCAGGATATTTTGGTTTCAGATAATATGGTCCTAAGACAAAATAGTCCCAGACATTATCGTCTCAAAATAGTCCCTGCATAAAAAAAACTACCAACTAACCCCTTAAAATCAATTACGACTGTATCAACTGCGTAATTCACAAAATGAAATATGACCACTATGACATATCGGATAACTTCTTGAGAACAAGAACATTAGCTCAGTTTGTAAGCATTAGCTGAACCAGGAGGGTGGGAGACTGGAGGGAGCCCCCCTATGATTTATGGAGACTTTTTTCCTGACTTACCTGAGCTCAGAGCTTCCGTTGAGATTCATGACACATCAGATGTACCAGAGGTTTAATTCTCCCATTAGCCTTCTCTTATCTCGTCCACCCTCTTCCCTGGTTTGCTACTCTCCTCCTTCGTCCCCTCCCCTTTCGTTCATCAATTATTCAGATGTCCGTCTGCTTATTAAGATGCACGAAACACTGAAACTTTAATGTCAGTCCATCGTGAACCTCTGCCAATGACTAACAGCCAAAGGTAACAACCAAACAAAAATCCATAAATTGTTAATTACGGATCAGCCAGGACCAGAATGACGGGTGGAAGAGGAGGGGGAAGGGGAGGAAGGGGGGAGGGAGGTTACGGAGCCAAGGAAAAGGGTGAACAAGAAAAGGAAAGGTCAATGAGAGAATATGGCCTCCAATACTCCTTGGATACGTCACAGATCTCTACGGAAGTAGAGCTCTGGCAAGTTATAAACAAAGGTCTCCATGAATCACGGAAGGAGGGGCAGCCCTCTTGATCTGCCAACACTTACAACCTTTAAGTCGATAATGCGTGTTCTTAGAAGGTTATATCTGAGCAGATATTAATAAAATCGTTATTGGTTTTGTTATTGATGCAGTTATTACAGTCATGATAGATATTGAGGCGTTGGTACCGTTTCTTACAACATAGACCTCTTTGCCCTATTTCTCATTTGGGACAATATTTTCCGGACCACATCGTCCGGACACCACTCCATGTTACGAGTAACATACATCAGATTGTTAAATTTAAACTAATATGAGTTCATAACTCTCTCGGACCGATCCCGGCGGTAATAGTAAACTGTGAGGAGGTTATGAATCGCAGAAACTCTCAGCGACTCACTTAGAGAAGCGATGAAACATAAATGCAGGAAGGCGAAGTTTACATGGAAAGGAATAGGCGGCTCAAAGAAGAAAGCTCCAATGAGCTTAGGTGCACTGTTTACGTGGGCGGCCGAGGCAAGTCTCTCATATCACTCCCCCTCGAATCTGCTGGCTCGTCGCGCACCATGCCGGGAAATGAGGAAGACATAGCGTCTTTGGAGACTGCGAAGTCAGATAAACGCTGTGGAAGCTAATAAGTTTCGAGGCTGGATCCACTCCATCTGTCCAGCTCCCGCCTTCGGAGCCCTTAAAATAGGTTACATGGGTTCGAAGATGCCTTGCATTGCAAGGCCCTTAGCTTTATCTTCCTGACGTATTGCGCGACAGGAATCGCGTCTTCAAACCCAAAAATCAAACTAATTCAACTCCTTTTTTTCATTCTTTAGTCAAATTGAGGAGGAACGCGTCTCACACGGTCTAACAGGCAAGAAAAATAAGATCGGATCTGAGACTTGTTGGCAGAGAATTTCGATACTTGAGTATCCAGACTCCGGCTAAGTTTTTCCTGCATCAAAGCGCTTATGTTTTCGCACGATTACGAGGCTCCGATTACGATTAAGGGCCTTTCTCATGCCAGGTGCAGTAACAACTCGACTGGAGAATGATTAGCGCTCTCAGTCGATCACTTGCGCAAGTCTCAAAGAGCATGGATACCCTAAAATATTTGCAGAAGGGGTATTTCAAACCGAGACCATCATATTAAGTTGTCATTTTCCATCTATTCATGGTTCTATTTAATTTCTGCAGCTTATTGCAATACGTGAGTTGATAACTCATCGTGCTACTTGGAACTTGGTACGTGTACTCGAGGTCACAACCCTCATGAAGCCTGACAGCTCAAAGAGAGTGGTCACTGAGGAGTGAGGAGTGCTCACATTGCGAGAGCAAACTCTGCATGCCCCGCAAGCGGCCATCTCATTAGGGTACGTCTCCCTCTGCGTTTCCCATGTAAACCAATAGTTTTGAGCTCAGATACTCTGCTCTTTGGTCTTTTATCAGTACCAATCAGCGACGAGTAATTTTTCTGCCATACTAGACACAAACGTTCCAAAATATCATGTAATTACAGTCCATTTTCACTAATCGCATGACAAAGCGATCAGTTTGATGGATATTTTGCTTGGCAAGCATGAAAACAGGCAGAGCGAAGTGCGACGGAATCACAGTCGGCTGTTCCGAGATGTACTCTCTCATTCCTTTCACTCCCTGCAGTTATTTTCAGCTGTATTCACTGCGGCGTTCACGAGAGATCACGCGGTCGGGGGCGCATTACTGTTGGCGTTCATGAAATATCCCGATAGAAGATAATCGTGCTTGCATACGAGTGCAAATGTTATCTTCTTTTCACATTCGCGTTGCTCTGGAAAGTACGGTCAAGCATGTCCCGGGATCTGGTAAACCCAGGAAGCATGTCGTCGGTACATCGTTGCCTATAAGTACTTATAAAGATATCGGACGCAGCTGGAAAATATGCCGAACACGACGCGATTACCTGGTGAGAGATGGTGCTCCCCTATCTCCTCTTCTGGGGAATAGAAGGTGTCGCTGGAACTGCGGGCTTTGGCCGTGTAGAAGTCATCGGAACTACAAGTAGCCCTGGAAGCGGCACCGCCATCCTCAGTCCCTTTCTTCGTTTCGCTCGGAGACTTCCTTGCTTTCACCGTCTCCGTTCGAACGGGAGTCTTATCCGAATCTCCACTCATCAACGTCACCTCATCGCCATCTTCCGGGACCAAAGGCACAGAATTAGCCCCCGATAAACGTTTTGCGTGAGTCGGGGAAGACGAGGGGAACCGATCTGGGCGCCAGAAAGACTCACCCTCTTGGTCTTTCTTGGTCGCCGTGAGAATGATTTCCGAAGTTTCAGAATCACTGTGGAGAAGGATGCTGGAGGAGACCGTAGTTTCATCTGATGCCAGACTCTTGCCGTCATCCCTGAGGAACAAATAGCAGCCATATGGTCATGGACGCACTTTCTAATGTTCAACGTGTTCTCACAATACCGGAGATAGTACGTTGTTGAGGAGAAAAAAAAAATGCAAGGCACACAATGCATTCGCGATGCCTTTGGATGAATAACTACTCTCTCGTGGCATACATTTGAATCAAGAAAAGCCCCATATTTTCCCATGAACAAAAAGTTCAATGAATGTCTACAGCGACGTCAAAAGCGAATGTCTATAGCACTGTATAAAGCGAAGCAAAAAGAAAAGCATGAGAACTGCGATAAATCAAAGCCCAATTTCGGTCAACTCTGTCTTTCGTTCTTTCAGCTCTTCTAAAAGTACGAATAGCCATATGCATTTCTTTCTAGAAAACAATGAGCCTTTCTTTTTATTTTTTATTTTTTTTTCTTGCTTCCGCACTATTTATAGCACATAGCTCCATTTTGAGAGAAGAGACGTGGACGTTGTTTCATCTCGGAACGTCCTTCCCTTTCAGTCATCAATCGACTGGAGCAGGATCTCAAGACCTCACCCGTGGGGTTTGACAACGCCGGGAATGAAAACAGGGACGGTGGGATCGCTGGGGTCGCCGATTCCAAATCGATTCTCGGCCCGAACTCGGAAGGAATACTCTGCACCGGCCAAGAGATGAGGGATCCTCGCCGTCGGTTCCTTCGTTCGAATCGCTTTCAGCCATGAGTCCCAACTCGTCTGGAAGAATCCCAAGGCGTTAACCTTCCGTGAATGAAGAATTAACAGCATTTCGACGAGCATTTAATGCTCGTTGACAC